CTTTTCTCTCCTTCTCCTCTCTTTACTTTTCTCCTACTCTTGGTCTCCTTCTGCCTTCTCTTCCTTCTTCTGTGGGTGTGCCTTATGTTTGCTCTGGGTTCTAAGGTCATCCAGACTTGAAGCAATATGTGGGTCCAGTATTGAGGACAAGTTCTATGGCTACCCAAGACAAAGGATGTTAGTTTTTATTATTAATTTCCTCAACCTGTGGTTGAAATGGCATCATTAGATACAGTCTCAAAGTCCCTCCCTCAGCCTAGTTGTATTTGTGAACCATTCTGAAAGGAGAATCTCAGTCTGCTATATTTATTCCAAGGTTCTATTTCAATCAGATGTTAAGACAACTGGGACAACACCCTTACTGGACTAGTCACAAAGGAGACAAACATGCCAGAACAGCCATCCCACATCTCTAATTTCAAAGGTCATGAGAATGGTGGTTGTATACACCCTACTGCAGCTTTGATTTGTTGGGGTGGAATTTGCAATGCTATATGAAATCAACAATGCTGACTTTTGAATTTCCTTTTTTCAAAATCCTCTCTCTTTTTAAAATCTTTCTCTCTCTCTCTCTCTCTCTCTCTCTCTGTTTTCTATTGAGACCATGATCTTGCGATCTGTTTTTCATCTGAGAAATGTTTCACTGAGGAAACATGCCAAGAGATAAATGGGGAAGTGCTGAGGTGTCCATCTATAAAGTTAGTTTTTCAGTTGAGTCAGGCAGGAGACTAAGATTTCTGAAGTGTTCTATGAGCCCCATTCCTCTGGATGTTTGGTTTATAAGGGAAGCTTCCAAATCTCTGATTTCTTTACCTGAATGCCTTTAGACTTCCTTCATTAATCATGTTCTTCCCATTCTTCCAAAACAGCCTCCTTTCCTTATTTTTCCCCTTACCCCAAACTCTCAATATTTCCAGCAGATCAGACTCCAAATCTCAGCCACATGGTTGATTTGTATAGAAGTCCCCACTATTTTGCATGCTCTTTGATCTAGTAATTCCACCTAGAGCTATTTGTTTATGCTGGCACGTGCAAATATTAGGCATAGAGGTGACCATTAGAGTACCTGTAATGAGATGAACATCAGAACAATGAGATCATTGTTGAATAAAATATGAACATTGATAAAACGGAATCGGATGCAGTCACTTCAAATGATGTAAAAGATTGATATGGAAAATATATTCAATGTATTATTTAGAAGAGATAAAAAGACAGTTATAAATAGTTTTGTCCTATTTTATTAAAAACACGTACATATGGTTATTTTAGAAAAGACTATTCGTATACATCAAAGTGGAAACAATGGTTGTCTCTGAATAATAGGATTAGAGGAAATTTTTATCTTATTAATTTTTTTGCTGATCTATTTTTTGATTTTTAACTTTTTTGTTTATGTATATCTTCATATATATATAGTATAATTTAAATTTTATTTTCTTCTCTTATTATAGTTTGTCAAGATGTCAGAACTAAACTAGGGAGGGGATTAAAGAACTTCTAGAGAGTTCAAAATTAAGCCACAAATGGTGGTTTGAAGAGGGTTCAAAGGTTAGCCACAAAAATGGTTTGGGTATGATGGAAAGTAGAAATGGGACTGGGAAGAAGGGAAGAGAAGGATAAAAGATACAGACTAAAGAGGCCACGTCATTAGTTCTACCAGAGGTTTTAGGGGAGATTTGATCAATCCATGGGTCTACAAAGGCTCTTTCCCACAGCAGGGGAATCAGTCTTTCTACAGCAACCAAAAAATAGAAGTGACTTCAAAGTCTGGTACAGGGAATAGTAGGAGAAATTTTCTTTTAGAAACAGTGGAAGGGGAGACTTGAAGAGTTGTGGAAGCTGGGAGATTTCCATGTGCCTACAATGATTTGTTACTTTGGAAACAGAATAGAATCAGTGTTAAAAGCCAGATTTCTGAAAGGACAAGAGGTGTAGACCATAGAAAATTACCAGAGGCCACTGCCAGGAAATTACTCTAACATTAAACAAAGTTAACCAGGGAAACCCACATAAGCTGAGTTATAAGCTTCTTTTTAGGTGTGAAAGTCAGTGTTCTCAGATCAATCCATACCTGTGACAGAACCCTGGCCCAGACGGTCCTCAGAACACCAAAGGTGGCCAGGTCAATGGCCTTCATTTTTTTTTTCAAGATTAGGAGATGTTTGGAGGAGTTTGTCAAAGAGCCATCAAACTGGTGACATTACTAGAGAACTTGGATCATAGAGAGAGAAAGTTTAAAAGAGAATTGCAATTATTTCATCTACTATTAGGAAGAAGGAATGAGATAACATAACCTAATTGTTTGACACTCTTTCAAATAGGAAAAATATTAATAAAAAATACAGTCAAGAGACAATTTAAATTAAATCATTTAGTGACATTGGAAAAACACCAGAAGAGAACTCAAATATGATAGTGTCAGAAAAAAAATTTTTTTTGGTGGAGAAGTAAAATCTCCACCCATTGGAACCTAACTAATTCCAATCCTAAATTAATCAGAATTTATACTTAAGGAAAAATGTGGAACATATACCCCTAGCAGAGAATTCTTAACAGAATAAACCATCAGTCGGATCTGGTATGGGGATTCCTACATGTTTGTTTATTTATTTGTGTTTAAAAGCTATGAGTATCTTGAAAATCAGCCTTATTGCCCACACCTACAATTTAGAATGACAGCCCCAAGTGTTGCTAGATTATAAGTCATCCAAAAAATATTCCTTCATGCTCAGTGTAATCCTCTTAGAATGGCAGGAACAACCAATGTTATAGTTGAGGAAGAATTTTCAAACACGGGGGTAGATGATCAAAGAGGTTTTATGTGATTGTTTTTCTTTTTGGATAAAGCTTCCTTTGACAAGAAAAATAAACCAGAATATACTTCATTCATTAATTTATTCATGTATGTAATCACTCAACAAGTGGTTACTGAACTCATGATATGTGCCAGGCGCAGTATTGGTTGTGAATGATAAGGAGAAACGTCCAGGTCCTGCTCTCAGGAAGTTTGCAGTCTAACCAAAGACACCTACGGATTGGGTGCTTTCATGAAATGTACTACCAATATTAAATGCGCTGAAAAGTCAAATAGAGCTGATTTCATCCATTTCTCTAAATTAATATTTTTATCCATTCTGCAATGTCTTTGCAATATATATTTTTTCTTTTTTTAAAGTTTTCTTCCTGGTATCTGGTACACAGCTAAACAGGATCAGTTTCTGAATATGGATTAATTTCCCAGAGAGTTGTGTTGGCTTCCCTTTGCCCCTCCAGGTCCTCTCTCTACCCTTCTCCATCCAGCTCTGCCTGGGAGGCTGGTCTGTGTGCCCTCTGGCTTTGGGTTGGGTTCAGCCAGTGAGAGGGGTGGCGGGAGATGAATGGGTGAAGGGATACTGTGATTGGGGGTTTTATTTCCCCACTGCCTCCCTACCTTTATCGCTCTACAAAGACTCAAGTGGGAAACCCTCTCCAAACACCACCCTCATGTCTGAAGGTGGAATAGTTGCCTGCTATTGCGAGTAAGGGGCACTGCACTCTCCCTTTTGGTTTCCTAAATCCAACTGACATTTTTGTAAATAGTCCCTCTATTAAACCCTCCTCAAATTACCTGGCTTAAGGGTACCATCTATTTCATGCCTTCCTGATAGAGAGTAGGGAAAGCCTTCTTCATTAAAGGAAAAAACAAAATATCTATTCTAGATTATTTCTGGGACCAGCATTAATGGAATGCTTAGAGAAAGCCTTAATTTAAGTAACCCTTGTTCATAATTATTCCGTTCTGATATGTAAATCAGTAGTACTTTGTGAGACATAATCAGATCGTAGATTTTAAAACCTTTCTTATTTCTTTTGCTACCTAGGAAACCACAGACATGCTAACTCCATGTCATTGCTAAATTCCCAACATTAACGTAGTCCCTTGCCCCAGAGCTGGGAACAACGGTCTTCCATATTCAGGTTCAACCTGATGTGAGTTCCCAGGACAGGTCCTGACATCAGATATCAGGGACTTGGCATCAAGACTCACTGGTTTCTAGCCTGGCTGCAACCTGGTCTTCCTCTCCTTACCCCCGTGTCTCTCTGTCCATTCTCTCTGGGACTCAAAAATCCTACTTTAATCAATACATTGCCCAGGAATTCTGCAGCCCATGGGTGCAGCAATGGGTCCTGGGTCTCTGCTAACCAACCACCTGTGCTAGCTGCTAGTGTGACTGGGATAGGGCCTGGTCTGCACTTCCCATCCTGCCTTTGTACTGCACCATACCCACACTGAGCATAGGAGTTATGGCACTTCCAAAAATGCCAACTCACTTGTTTACTGAGTGGCTATTCTGTTCTAGGAACTGTTCTGGGTTCTGGGGAGGTTGGTTTCATATTACATTTAAAAAGTAGGAATAAGTGAATAAATTCTACTCTTAGAAGCAAAAGGAAAGGAGATAGCTTATCCACTTAAGCCTTAGCTTTCATTCATCATGTGGGTTTCTTTTCTTCCTTTTCCTTTGAATACACATCTATCACATCCCTTTTGTTTTCTTTTAAAGACAGTTTGCTTTCCCTTCATAGATAAGTAAAGCAATTATATATTTTAATGATTGTATCAAAAAATCTGATTCTACTGCAATTCTAGAAGTAGTGTTTACTTTCAAAGACCATAAGTCTAAAATCATCAAAACTCCACTTTCAAACGCTCATAATTTAGATTGAGAGATATATTCAGTATTTTGCCCACTTCTATATAATGAGGATATTTCTGTCTTTTCGCTAGCTACACAAACTGGCCCTGACTTGCTGATATGTGTTTAACAAATTCTTCTGAATAAAATAGCCTGTACAACAGCTTTAGTGACAGGTTGCTGTCCACTTAACAGATTTTCAAGTTTTATTTACTAAAGCTGTTTGGGAAAGTTTTTATGTACAGTTTGGGCGACAGTTCTTTTTGTTTCTTAATTCCACTACTAATGATTTGGTGTGTATAACCATTTCTTTTCTTTTCAAAGGTGAGGACACATGGTGAGTAGAGGGCTTGCTGGCAATTGGTTCACAAGCTGAGGAGGGCACAAAGGCCAGATATTTCGTCTGAAGAGTTCACAGGCTATTAAAAACATTAACAAGGTTTTACTGCCTTGCCTAGGATGGAAATAATTGCTTTCAAGTGAACTGGCATTAAAGTGAACACGTCAAGACTACCCACTTGGAAGCTACAGGAGACAGAAACAGAAAACACGACCCTGGTTCATGTTCCATTACTTTAATCGCTAAACACCACTCCGTTTAAGCTAAAGAGATATAATGGTACATTTGACAGATGCCTTCACATCAAGAGGAGATAGGGCCCTGAAAGTCGCATGTTGAACCTTTCTTACCTTCTACGAGGATGTCACTCAAAATCTCTTCTCAATCCCTCTTCACTGGCTGATTACACAATACAGAGTCATTCCTAGTGCAACCCAACCCTCTCCCAGGTGAACCTTGCTTTACACAAAACACCTGTGTGTAAATAACCTGGTAATCATTCAAGTTGTATTCTAAATGCACCACAGAGATCTCACATTTTAAGGAACACTGAAATAAATGCTTCTGTGAGGCAGAATAGCTCTTTTGTAATGTAAACAATATAAGCCTAGATAAAGCTTCCAATTTACCTAAGTTTAGATTTTTGCATATTGGGTTTCATTAAAGCAGCACATATCTGTAAAAGAAAATATTTTAAGCCTCAGCCCTTTGCCAATCATAATGGTTTTTTAAAATCTCATTACAATAAAACCCATTAGTTTGAATAATTAAATACCAAAAAATGCTTTCCGCATGTACTGAAATTTCTGATTTTAATAGAAAAAACAAACAGAATGACTGTTTTTAAGTTTCTAGCTCAATCTTATTTTAAAATGACAAACAGTGTAATGACTAACAAAATATGGCCATGATCTACCTTTAGGACAATAGAGGACAAATAAAAAGGAATAGAACCAGCTGTGCCCAGTGGTTCACACTTGTAATCCCAGCACTTTGGGAGGCTGAGGCAGGTGCATCACCTGAGGTCAGGAGTTCAAGACCAGTCTGGCCAACATGGTGAAACCCCATCTCTACTAAAAATACAAAAATTAGCCAGGTTTGGTGGTATGTGCCTGTAATCCCAGCTACCTGGGAGGCTGAGGCAGAACTGCTGGAACCTAGGAAGTGGAGGCTTCAGTGAACCGAGATAGCACCATTGCACTCCAGTCTGGGTGATGGAGCGAGACTCCTTCAAAAAAAAAAAAAAAGGAATAGAACCAGGTCTGAGCGCTAAAACCTTGGAGAAGGTACAGTAGCAGCTAAGCAGGAAATGTGTTATTGTTACAGCTTGACAACTATGCAGGTCCACAAAGGAATGGAAGCTGAGAAATGTGGAGTAACATGTTCAATGTCACATGGGTTCTAAGCAGAGAAGTCAGAATTCAAACTCAGATTTCTGCATCTGAAATAAATGCGCTTAACCCCTCTGCCTACCATTTGATTGAACCTTAAATTGTAGATGTTTGAACATTTTGATTGACAAGGATGGATTTTCAAATGGTTTAACTGCAAACCTCTCTCCACCACACAGAAATAAAAGTGGGAAAAGGTAGCCATGACCCAAGGTGACCTGAGTCTGTTTTATAGGACCAGAAAGAGCCCCAGGCTGTTTTTTCTCTTCTGCCCCACACGTTTCCAGGCTACACCCACCCACTTTTGGATGTACTTGCACAGTTCCCTTTTTATTCAGGAATCTTTAGAGGGCACCATCTGTTCACCAGACCCTGTGTGATGCACTGGAGCCACCACCCTGAGTACAACTTAGTCCCTGACCTTGAGAAGTCCGCATTCTTACCCTTCAGGAAACAAAGCAAGAGTATAGAAATTGCACGAGCACAAAATCATTTCAGGGATGGATCCAGCTGCCTTTGCACATGTGAGAATGGCCGTGACAACTTAGCATACCCCCTCAAAGAGGGGGTGAATGGAGGGCACCTGAGCCCCACTGCCTGTCCCTCCCCATCCTGTGTCCTCTCCAGGACCTGCTGATTGCCACTGTCTCTTCATCCCAGAAGCTAAAGGAAGTTGCATAGGACATGGGGTGGAGGAAGGAAATCAAAAGTCTAGAACCCACACAGAATGCTGGTCATTCTTCATCTCTCATTTGTCACTCTAAAAACCTGTCATTTCACGGCTCAAGTGAAGCCACGTTTCACTGCAGTTTATTCCCTCAGAAGCTGAAGCTCCATGCTCTGGTTTCTATCCCACATACTGTATTTAATTTTAGCAAAAATCCCAGTAAATAAAATAATTTGGAACAATACGGAAGTTTATGAGATTTAGCTTACATACCCATATACTCATGCATTTATTACAGAGAGTTTATTAAAGTGAGTTGATATTTCATATAGCTTTAAAACAAACACACCAACCCAGTTTTTCTTCTAGAATATTGCCCACGGAACTGTGGGTGGCATACTCCTGTCCAGTGTACGTGATTTCACACATTTCTCATAGCCTTGAATGTTTGCTTTCAGAAGAGGATCTTTTCAAATGTTTTAGGCTGAACATTAAATTTGGTCAGTTATTGTGTTTAGTTCAGAGCAGAAAACAAACTCACTTTGAACATTGCAGTGGATTTTTGTTTAATAGAGACACATCCTTCACTTATGGCCAGCCCTTAGCACTAAGAAAACAAATTCTCATTTATCCTGCACATAAGGTGAGATGTCATTAAATTGGAAATTATTAATGACAACTAATGGTTGGTAGTTATTAATGACATTTGTGAGAGCAGGATAAAAACAATAATTACCATAATTTGAGGTGTCATGAATAAGCAGTAATTGTAATAATGATTACTATTATAATAATGAGTGAGAAAATGATTTTAGGTTATTAAATCAGCAAGAATAAAGGAAGCCTGCACATGTATATATATATATTTGATTGTGGAACATTGCCAGATAAAAACAAGAGTCACTCTCTTTTTTTTCCACCTTGGTGTTTTTATATATTTTTTTAAAAATTTGTGTGGGTCCTTAGTAGGTGTATATATGTATATGGTACATGAGCTGTTTTGATACAGGCATGCAATGTGAAATAAGCACATCATGGGGAAAGGGATATCCATCCCTCCACGCACTTATCCTTTGAGTTACAAACAATTCAATTACACTCTTAGTTATTTTTAAATGTACAATTAAGTTCTTATTGACTATAGCTACCCTGTTTTGCAATCAAATAGTAGGTCTTATTCTTTCTATTTTTTGTACCCATTAACCATCCTCTTCTTCCCTCCAATCCCCCAATACCCTTCCTAGCATCTAATAATCATCTTTCTACTCTCTATGTCCATGAGTTCAATTGTTTTGATTTTTAGATCCCTCAAATAAGTGAGAACATACAATGTTTGTCTTTCTGTGCCTGGCTTATTTCACTGAATATAATGATCTCCAGTTCCATCCATGTTGTAGAAAATGACAGGATCTCATTCTTTTTAAGGCTGAATAGTTCTCCACTGTGGTATATGTGGTATACCACCTCCAATGTGGTTTATGTATCACGCTTTCTTTATCCATTCATCTGTTGATGGACATTTAGGTTGCTTCCAAATCTTAGCTATTGTAAATAGTGCTGCAACAGACATGGGAGTGCACCTATCTCTTCAATACACTGATTTCCTTTCTTTTGGGTATTTACCCAACAGTAAGATTGCTGGATCATATGGTAGCTCAATTTTTAGTTTTTCGAGGAACCTCCAAACTGTTCTCCATAGTGGTTGCACTAATTTACATTCCCACCAATAGTATACAAGGGTTCCCTTTTCCTGCCACATCCTCACTAGCATTTGTTATCCCCTGTCTTTTTTATATAAGCCATTTGAATTGGGGTGAGATGACATCTCATTGTCAAAAGTCACTCTTGATTGAGGACTTAACAGGTGCCAGGCACTGTGCCAAAGATGTGGCATACATTATCTCATTTAATCCAAAGCAACTCTGCAAATGGATATTATTGTTAGCATTATTATCTCTGATACACAAATGAGAAAATGGAGGCTCAGAGCAGTTATGCAATTTGACAATGGTAAGTAAATAGCTGGTAATTGTCAAAAAAGGGGTTTAAAGCTGGTCTAGTTAACACCAAAGTCCGTGCAATTAACCAGTATTCTTTGTTAACTGAAAACCAATGAATATATCCTGTTGCATAGGACAACGCTAGCACTTGCTCCACTGCCAATTGCCCCAAGGGGATAGGTCTGACTGATAAGTCATCTTGGACGCAAGGGTCCCAGCTGACATGAGGACCTTTCCGCAGACCAGTATGGTGACAACCCCACAAGGACAGGCCACATACTCCTCAATGGAGAAGCACCGAATATTTCTGTAAGGAGGAAGATGTGGTTACTCCCCTGGGTTGGTTATAAAGCCTTTTAAAAATGGGCCTCCTGGGGTTTTGTCAAATCCAAGTACTAATAAGGCCTGACTCTGCTTAGTTTCCAAGATCAGACTAGATGGAGTGTGATCAGGGTGGTGATATAGTTTGGATATTTGTCCCCTCCAAATCTCATGTTGAAATTTGATCCCCAGTGTTAGAGGTAGGACCTAAAGAAATGTGTCTGAATCATGGGAATGGATCCTTCATGAATGGCTTCATGACATCCTCATGGTAATGAGTGAGTTCTCACTCTGTTAGTTCCCTCAAGAACTGGTAGTAAAAAAGAGATTGGCAGCTCCCTCCTCTCTCTCTTTCTTCTTCTTTTACCATGTGATCTGCACACTCCTGCTCCCCTTTGTCTTCCACCATGAATGGAAGCTTCCTAAGGCCCTCATCAGATGGAGATGCCAGCACCATGCTTCTTCTACGTCCTGCAGAACTGTGAGCTAAATAAACCTTTTTCCTTTATGAATTACCCAGCCTTAGGTATTCCTTTATAGCAACAAAAAACAAACTAACACAGGTGGTATGGCTGCAGACCTCCTTGGGATTTTCTGATCAGAGCTATGATCTAAGTCACATCTTGACTCTCCCTACAGGCAGGCAGCAAATTCCCTGCCCTCCATCCACAATGAGGTGTATGTTCAGAAAAGGCCATGCATTTGTACATGCCTGTGTTGTGTTAAGGATGTACATAGGGGCCGGGTACAGTGGCTCATGCCTGTAATCCCAGCACTTTGGGTGGCCAAGGTGGGTGGATAGCCTGAGGTCAGGAGTTCGAGACCAGCCTGGACAACATGGTGAAACCCTGTCTCTACTAAAAATACAAAAATTAACTGGGCATGGTGGTGGGAGCCTGTAATCCCAGTTACTTGGGAGGTTGAGGCAGGAGAATCGCTTGAACCCAGGGAGGTGAAGTTTGCATTCCAGCCTGGGCAACAAGAGCAAGACTACATTTCAAAAAAAAAAAAAAAAAGAATGTACATAGAGCTGCAAAGTCATCATGAACATATCTATCAAAAATCAAAGTTCTGAGTCCTCTGGAGATTTGTTTTAAAAGTCACTCTCCCAGCTTCTATTTTTGAAAGATATTAGTTGGGTGTTTTTTCTTATTTGACACTGGGATAATAGGATTGTTGGCTAATATTTTATCTAACACAGACTTACCTATATATCAACAAGAGTTATCAGTTTTGCAATGAATTATAAGAAAATCACATGCACTTAATCCTAAGCTTGTAGTGAGCGTTATTTGATCCTTGATGATTCTACAGACATTTCAGGATCTCATGGTAACTTGGAGTCATCATTAAGAGCATCACTTGTCGCTGTGCAGGAAATATACAGCCATTTGAGCATCACACATGGGCTTTTGGATAAATGGGCACTCAGGGCTGACTTTGAAAAATGATTCATAAGAACTAATGAGAGCTCAAAATGGTGGAAAGTTCACTTTAATGCAGAGGAAATATGAAACTTTTGACTAGGAGCACAATAGTGTGCCTGTTCCCCTCATGAAAATGTGGTTATATTCTACAGCAAATGGGCCAAATAGGAGTGACATGTACTTCTGGGCTTCAGAGTCCATCCCCACAATTAGTTGTGCAGCATTTTCTGGTCTGGTGGAGTCGCATGGTTTCAGAATGTATGTTGGAGTTCTTTTCCTTAGAATTTATTTCCAAACTAAAGCAAGGAGGCTAATCAAAATGACTTTTGGCTGAAAGCCACAGTAACCCATAGGAAAAAGAGGATCTGCAGGATAAGGACACTTTTTTGTTTTGTTTTGTTTAATGAATTAACTCAGAGAGCCAAATGGGAGAACACACATACCTCCCATGAGGAAAGAGGCCTGGCTTCCCTGGAGCCATGTGATGCTAAAATTAACATTCTGAATTGTAGGCCAGCAAACTCTGGTTGCAAACAGGTAGCTTCCATAAAAAACTAAACAGTAGTGAAAGACACTGAATGATCAACATTATGAAATTTGCAATTTTCCCACATCATGCATTTTGGGTTAGATTTCTTAAGTTAATATTTCATGAGCATTATTTCGATCAGATTCATGTACATGTTTAAATAAAACAGTGCTCATGTAGACCTGTGTTAAAATGCTGCCACTCAGGCATGTGAAACAACCATGCTGTGGACTTTTTGTTTTGTGATGAGCTACACATGACAAGAAGACTTCTCTGCAGAAATGTAGTGATTTTGCACATTTTCTCATTTCTTCTTCACTGAAGTCCTCAGAGGTAGGCAGGGCAGGGATTATGTTTATGGCAAGAGTGATGTGATAAAAATAATGAGAACAAAGAGTTTCATAAAACCAGTAAAGTTCAATTTATAACCAGAGTGTCCCAGTACACCTGGCAGAAACACACTGCAGTGCTCAGTAGATAAAGTGATGTGCCACATTTGGATGAAGTTCTCATTAGCAATTCTCCTTCCTATAACAACTTCATAGATTTTACTGTTCCTTCTCTTATTTATCTCCACTAGGAACATTTTCATCCAAACTGGGTATTTGGTGCTTAAGAGTTCTCCTGACACTGCTTCTTACTCACCAAATAGAGTCATAATCCTTAGTATGTAACTTCAAAATCCTTTACACAATAACCAATTGCTTCCCCAAAGAGGATTGTGACTTTAGATGGAGAATAAGCTGCTGAAGGAAATTAACTCTCAAGAAATGAAAGTCCTGTTTCTGTGCACTTGGAGGCAGGGAAAGAAAAATCCAGAGGCTATCACCCAAATGCCAACGCATTCTTTTTTCTGCCTATAGAATTTCAGGACCAGATAGGTTATGTACAAGGTCACTCTGCCCTCTCATTCAAAGCTCACAGGCAGGAGAGAATGGATGGGACTCCTTCCCTGGAATCGT